CAAAGACAATCTCATTTGAATTGTAGAAATTAGCATGCTTTAATATGTGCAGTTACTGTTATTTTTAGAATTTTGTACACAGGATGTTTCAAAAAATTAGTGAATGAAGTAGTTTATTTATTGATTAGATCAAAAATATTTAGTCAATTTTCTAGTCTCTCTATATACTTGCTAAGATTAGACTGATTTTGGCAAGTGACATTTCCTCTAAAAAAATAAGGGTGGGTGGGTGGGGCTAGTACTTGCTAAGATAAGACTGAATTTGGCAGATAATCCGCTCTTTCAAGAAAATAAAGGGTGGGTGGGCGTGGCTAGTACTTGCTAAGGTAAGATTGATTATGCCAAATGACATATCCTCTAAAAAAGTAAAGGTGGGTGGGTGGGGCTAGTACTTGCCAAGATAAGACTGAATTTGGCAGATGACCCGCTCTTCCAAGAAAATAAAGGGTGGGTGGGCGGGGCTAGTACTTGCCAAGATAAGACTGATTTGGCAGATGACCTGTTCTTCTAAAAAAATAAAGGGTGGGTGGGCGGAGCTAGTACTTGCCTTAGTTGTTCTCTCAAAAATTAATGTCATATTTTATATGTTTGTTAGGAATATCGTATAGATATAATGGTAAAACAGTACCAAAATGTATCTAGTCATCCCTACCAACAATTTGATGACGTCATGTCAATATCTTTTTTTGACAAATGGCACTGGAATTTTATAAAACAATAAAGTCCGGTAGTTGTAACTTATGAATCCCCCTTGAGTTTTTACCTTAGGTTTTCAGATTTTTCCCAAAATAAAATCGAAATTTTATAATAAAATTTTACACTATATGAACGAAGAAACGTCCTCCAGTAGGCCATGAAATAAATTGTGTACATTCTGATGTTGGCAACACCCACACGTTCCTTGTTTGGTTTGAGAGATACGAAAAAATAACTACAGTGACAGTGTCATTGTTTTTAAAAGATATTTCATTTCGTTATGACTGGTATTATCTATATTTATTTAATTTATAAGGTTTACCATAAAATAAAGCCCTGTCTAAATAACTTTAGACTTACCTTATTTTCCTTTCTTAAAATTGCGCCTCTGCAATTTTCATCTTGATATTTTTACTTCCAAGCTTAAGAAAATGAAACTCAATTTAATTGAGTCCATCGGGCAATAGGCTACTTTCATGTTTTTGACGTTTCACGTTAGCTTTCTTTACCTTCAGAAATCATTGTACAGAAAGTATTTAAGAAGAGTTTGTCAAGATTGCAACGAAAATCTGGTGGGATGGACGGTGACGGTCCGGAATTTCGCCGATAACACAAGGGGATGGCGTGCCTCGGTGTTAAGCCTTGGCCCAAATAGTGCCGCTGAAATAGAAACAGGCCTAGCGGACCTAGGCTTATGCGGGGACTTTCACGCCACCAGGGGTGGCGCCTTAGGTCGGGAGCGGTGGACGCTCGGGCGCCAGATCTCTCTCCTGGGGAACAAACAAAAAGAATAAAACGCCCGGTATGGTCGTTCCCTCCTGGACCGAGACTTTCTTCAGGAAGGGCTCCTCTTGGACCTGGGGACGACGAACCTGGAACGGGAAATCGGTACTTCCGGTGGTCGGTTCTTTCAGCTGGGGTTCGGCACTTCAAAAGTAGCTCTCACTTTGGAGAAACAGCCACAGCACTTCTTTTTCATCCGAAGCCTCAAGACATATTCCCTTTTTTCGAACGTGGATTTTCAGTTGGCTTAAAAAAATAAACTCTAGTAAAAACAAAAGTTTATCAAAAAAATGGAATCCTAGGTTATTATTTATCAAATGTCATATCAAATTAAAGATATTTTCAAAAGCAACTATGTCATCTATCTTTCTTTATTCATTCTTATTTCAAATATTTTTTTTTGACGATTAGAGCACAACTTCTTATATTCCATAACCTACTTTTAGTTGATTTGTACAACTGGTTCTCAAGATATTTAACCGTTTCCATATATTATAACGACCCTATATATGCCAAAATTAGTCTTATCATAGCAAGTACTAACCCCGCCCACCCGCCCTCTATTTTCTTAGAGGACATGCCATTTTCCAAAATTACTACGTGAAAGATGTTGTTAAATAATCATGTTGTTAAAAAAAATTTTTTTTTAATTTTTTCATGCGTTATCACGGGGGGGGGGGAGCTTCACTGCAAAATCGATATTTCTCTGCAAAAATTTACCATTTTAAACATGTTTTAAGTATTTTATTATGAAAAGAAAAACGTACAATAAAAGGCAAAATCTAGGCCCCGCCCACCCACTTTATCTCAATTGTGATGATATTTTATTATTCGTCGTGTGTCAGGGGGTGGAGCTTAATTGCAAATCTCGTTTCTCTCTAAGAAATTACCATGTGGATCATGTTCTTAAGTAATGGTGTTGTTCAAAGAAAAAAAAAGGCCAAGCCCAACCCATCCGCTCTGATTTTATTTGTGATGAATGTGTCATTCGTTATCAGAGCGGGGGAAGACCTTAACTGCAAAATCGATATTTTTTTACAAAAATTTACCATTTCAAACATGTAAGTGTTTAGTTATGAAAAAAAGAATGAACATTAAGGAAAAAAGGCAAAATCTAACGATTTTATTTCTGTTCACGAAGTTCCACCGTTCATTCGGACCAGATAAAATCAATCAAATAAAAGTAATCACGGAAACGGAGTGGGTGGTGTTAATTATATGTTCTTCTGTAGATTAGGAATGGGAACTAATAGAATGTAGGCTGTTAAAAAAGAAAAAAAGTGCTAATTGTAATTTTTTGTTATATTATTTGCTATAAAATTTATTTCTTATTTCACATGAAACCAATGAGAGAACGGGTGGGTGGGCGGGGCTAAGTTTAAGTTTTTGTTAGGAAGTCTTTTATAAGCAAACAGTGGATTTTTCGATAAAATAGTACATAAAGGTACTTACATATTACAAGGTCACATATAGAATGGCTTGAACACAACACATTTGTTAAAAAAAATCATTAACGTTAAGGGTATGGAAAAATAGTCATCCGTTTTCGTCAGTTTGTCTGTCTGCCGTCTGTCCTGATTTCTATTAGACAGACAATAATATCCGAAATTACAAGTTTTTTTTTAATTAAATCAAGGAGAGTTCATCTAATTTGATCGAAAATTACGGTAATATTGCACCCGACTATATTTAATAATTTTAAAATAATAATAGTTATTATAATAACAACTCATCAAAGCTTAATTAATTGATAAGTCCTCTCCTCTGTTTTAACGAGACAAAATCAATCAAATTCCATTTTCTTGTACTACAAATACATGTGGCCGCTGATGTTTTTAGCCTGAACGTGCTTATAGACGAATTATTTCGAACTGTAAGCATAAACACTAGAAATTAAGAATGTTTATTACTGTTGAGAGGACATTTTCCCCGTAGGTTATCTGCTTTAGATATATTTTATACTTACGCGCGCAAGGCCTGAGGGGGTGTTATTTACGCCACTGGTTTTCACTTTATCGAGATTATCACAAAAGAAAAATCGCAAAAACTAATTATATAACTTCAGTGGGAGGAAGTTCTGTCGAAATAAACTTCGACGATTTTTTTTTATTACTGTCTCAAATATTTCCTCTATTGTAAGGACTAAGGAAACTAATCGGTAATTATTGATTTCTCTTTTTTTAAAGTTTACTATATTCAGCTTTCCAGTTATTTTATAAATATCTTCTCACGTAAGCAATGATTAATTAATTAATTAATATTTTTAGCCAATGAAAGGGCAACTGGAATTATGAGTCCTCATTAATACAACTCGTCCTAGACTATTTTACATTTCGAATGTATCTAGAAATTCATATTCGGCCTGATTTAAAAAAATAATATTGCTACTAGAAAGCACTATGTGGTGACCCATAATATCAAAAAAAAACTATTATTGTTGTCGCTGCTCGCACTAAAATTCGTAAAAAGGTTGTCATTCTTAACTGCGACATGACAACTTCGTGTTGAAGTTAAATTAAAATAAAAATAAAAAATACTGGAGAGAGGTAGAGCTTTATTGTGATTTCACATATGTTAATTAAGCTTGGTGAACTTGGACTATATTAACATAAGTAGCTAAAGTAACTTTTGTTGTAAAATTTTAATCGGGTTGTAGCACACTTCTCAAAATTGGCTCAATCTTGGGAAACTAGTTCCGAATTCACGATAAAGAGCGTAGAGAAGTGAAGAATTTAAGGCTTCATGTGATTTTTCGTTAAAAATGAACTTTTCATTATTTTTATGGTTGAGGATATAAGCTATTCATTTGAATAGCGACACGCTCGACCTTGAAAATCGATACAGTTTTGTTTGTTTCTCATCGATTTTATTCTTTTATTTTTTGCTTGTTTTTTTTTGCTTCACGTTATCGGGGTTTCATTAGCGGCTGTAACTATCAGACAGGATAATAAAATCCAACGCTTTTGAAGTCCTGGTGCATATTTGTTGCCTATAATAAAGTAATTTATTCTCAGCGCTGAATCAGGCGATTTAACGGAAAGCTCAAAGAGATCTATACAAACCAAATAACAAATCAGGTAAATTTCGTCACTTCCGAAGTTAGAACTTGTCGTTGTTACCGTCGAAGTTAAAAACGTACCATTAAATATTCTTTATACAAAGTTGGAGAAGTTCGTGCCAGATTCTTAAAAAAGCAAAACGACGACTAGGTGCCGAGACGAAGTCGTTGATCTCGTCGACCTTAACACGTTAATAACCGAACTGCCAACAAGTGCAAAACGTCATTTTCTCCCAAGTTTCAATTTTAAAACTTCAGCTAGTAGCGCATGAAAGCATCCAGCACCTGAGCTGTGAATTGTGCCGCGCTTCCGAGAATTAAAAGTCGGAAATTCGGGTCGAATCTGATCATTAAACAGAATTTACAGCGGCTGCAGGGGCGTAAAATCCGCGATAACTTAGGTCAACACGCGGATGATTCGCAAACACGAAAAATTTACTTTGTCCCTCTTTTGTGTTTTTAGTGGCCAGCATCGACGGCCCGGTCCTGAACATTTCTGGGGTGAGCAGGCAACAAATGGGGCCTTACCTGTGCATCGCTTCCAACGGGATTCCTCCATCTGTCAGCAAACGCATCATGCTCATCGTGCATTGTAAGCGTTTCGCCCGTCCATGGCTCATTCTCATCCGCTCTTTTCCAGTTGCCCCAATGATGGAGATCCAGAATCAGCTCGTCGGAGCTTACGAAGGACAGCAGATAACACTCGAATGCCGCTCGGAGGCCTATCCGAAGTCTATTAACTACTGGACCACTGATAAAGGCGAAATCGTTCCACAGAGTTAGTACTTTTTTATTATTTCTCCGTGTAAAAGGAAAACGTGTTGCTTTTTAGATAAGCTCCGGCGCAGGTTGACCGCTGTTCTCTCGAAAGCTTAGATCACGATCGGCCGCCACCTATGGGTTCGACGCCGCCCCCGCGTTATTATGTTATTGTCTCCTCTTTCGGGCTCTTTTTTTTAATTACGATGACGGCTTTGTTCTCATTTTCGAGGTTTGTCGCGCCACTTTTATAACTTTTTTTTATTAACGAGCTCGGTGACTTCTCATTAATTTCCGCCTCCCGGGGTATAATAATTTTATCAGCTTCGATATAAAGGGACGACCACACGGAGGAAACGCCACACGCGCAATATTTCTAAGATAATAGATGTGACTAAATATTTGAACGAGGTCGCCCACAAAACTTTCTTTTATTGTAGGCCCACGATAATTTTTTATAAACGTAAATATTTTGTTTTATTAGATCAGGGAAAATCTTATCCACGAACGCGTCCTGTGCCACTAGAAAGACGGTTCATATTTATGTGCATTTTAAAAAAAAACTTGAACCACATTTTTTTTATCAGAACAACTTTTATGTGTCTCCAGACAGGGTCGTACAAACCGCTTGGTCAATTTTTGTGACACCAGATTTAGGTATTCCAGTAAAACTGATAACTTTGCCTAACTACGCTAAACTATGTGTTTTTGACGAAGCCAGTAAAAATTATGCCATTTTATTGACGACCGGAACATTACCCGGAAGACTGCTCAATGCTGTAAAACCCTACCCTCCATTCTATCGCCAGTGATCCGTTGCATGAATGATAGTATGAGTGGTATGCGGCATTAAATAGGGAATGGCTAATTTTATTACGCTTTTCACGCCATCTTTGCATGTTGTTTAGTGTGCTATTAAAGTCGGTTTTATCGCATACTATCGACATTTTCACCAGTAGGCCACATACTGGTTCTAATAAAAAAATGGCCCTCAATTTACGGCTAAATTGTTTCCTTTGCACACGTAATGGGGATCAAAAAGTTTTTAGATTACAGTTGGCCATGGAAATATTGTCATGTCTTTGATTACACTGCAAATGTCAAGACATGACTAACATTTCCATGGCCAACTCTAATCTGAAAACTTTTTGATCACCCGTTATATATTAAAAATGTATTCAGTTTATATTGTTATCTACTCTTTAATTAATGTTTTTAGCTATATGTTGTGCTGGATCGCAGGAAGAACTTTAAATCCGTTTTATACGTTTTCCTGGCCATTAATTTTGTATCTGCTACCCTTGTTTTTTCGACTGTTTAGAAAACGTCAACTCAATTAAAACATGCATTTTTTAATGTATTTTTTATTACACAGGGTGTCCCAACTGTCTGGGGGTGCATGATTAATTTTTTTTTATACAGTCTGAGACAGCTCTTTAGGGCTACAGTATAAAAAAATGATTTCAAATAAACAAGGATTTAGTTTGAAAATTCAACACAAGGGCTACATTTTTTTGTCACACCCTTTATATTTTTAAAAATTTAGAATCCACAAAGAAAAAACTCAAGGTGTATTAATTTATATTTTATCTGTGACTAAATTCACAGATTGTCAATTTCTCATATGTATATATTATTTAAATGAGACACCTCGTATTTTATAACTTTTTGATGTGATATCTACGAATCTTTTTTTAGTTTTCCTACAATATTTGTCTGTAAAATATATAGTATATGCTATTTAAATCAACACCATTTTAGTGTGAAATTTGTAAATAAAACACCTTATATATTTCAAAATAGTTCTAAATAATAGCCCTAAGTACGAGCTCTGCTAGACGCCATTAAACGATTTTTTCCAATGTCCAGCGATAAATGCGTAATTTTCAGCCATCAAATGTTGTGACATCCTGTACACTTTATGTCAGTGTTAAAAAATTTAAACTTTATTTAAATGGAAAACAATTTTCTACAAATATTTCAAACATAGAAGGGTTTCGTTTCAAAATTCCTCACAACAGCTATAGCTTTTTGTGTTACACCCTATATATTTTTATATATTTAGAATCTTTAGATAAGAGAAGATAATTATTTTTTTTCAACAAAACTCTTCACTATATTAGCCGTTCTAAATTAAAACTAGTCATATTTAAAATTTTCCTAAAGCCTCCATATTTAAAAATGGAGGTCTAGAATTTTGCATAAAATACTTTACTTGACAAATGAAGGGAAAAGTCAAATGTGTTTTAATTTATTGATACGGGTGAGCAAATTTGCAAATTGTCAATTTCTTATATTATTGAAATGGGACACCCTGCATTTTATGACATTTTTCAGTTTATATATAGCAAACTTCCTGTTGATGACAAGTGACAATGAAATACTTTATATATTTCCAAGTAGTTGTAAATTATGGCCTTCAGTGAGTTTTATTAGACCCCATTAAACGATTTTTATCAATAACTCACAATAAGTGCTCCAGTTTCAGGCATTAAATCTTGGGAACACCCTGTGTATTTTACGTCAGTGTTATCTAATTCAAACTTCATTTAAATTGAAAACAATTTTTTACAATTATTTCCAACGTAGAAGTGTTTGATTTGAAAGTTCCACACAACAGCTATATTTTTTTATGTCACACCCTGTATATTTTGATACAATTACAATCCTTGTTATAAAAGAAGGTAATATTTTTTTTTCAACAACAGTCTTCATCATATTAGCCCTTCTATATTAAAAATGGTCATATTTAAAATTTTCTCAACGTCTCCATATTTAAAAAAGGAGGTCTAGAATTTTGGATAAAACACTTTGCTCGAGAAGTGTAAGAAAAACCCAACTGAGTTTTAATTTATTTTTGAACGCGATAAAATTCGCAAATTGTCAATTTCGTATGTTGGTCAAATGCATCACCCTGTATTTTATGACATTTTTGACTTTATATTTCAGAAGCTTCCTCTTCATTACAGGTTTTTTAAGATTAGTATTAACAGTTTTTTTATTAGGATTAGGATAAAGCCTAACAAACCTACTATAAAAAAATCCTTTTAAGGACCAAATACCACAACTTTTTTGTTTAATTTGTAAACGAAACACCATGTATATTTAAAAATAATTGTTATTTATAGCCCAAAATGAGTGATTTTAGACGAGATTAAGGGAATTTTCCAATAACACACGATGAAATACGTAATTTCCAGATACTAAATGTAGAAACATCCTGTATATTTTACGTCAGTGTTGTATAATCACATATTTGCAACTCAATTATTTTTTATAATTGAAAACAATTTTGGGCAATTATTTCAAATATGGAATAGTTTCGTTTGAACGTTTCACAAAACAGCTATAAGTATTTTTTTATGTCACACCCTATATATTTTTATACATTTAGAATCCTTGTTATAAAAGAAGATAATAATTTCTTTCAACAACAGTCTTCATCATATTAGCCCTTCTATAATAAAAATGGTCATATTTAAAATTTTCTCAACGTCTCCATATTTAAAAATGGAGGTCTAGAATTTTGGATAAAACACTTCACTTGAGAAGTGTAAGAAAAACTCAACTGAGTTTTAATTTATTTCTGAGCGTGATAAAATTAGCAAATTGTCAATTTCGTATGTTGGTCAAATGGATCACCCTGTATTTTATGAAATTTTTGACTTTATATTTCAGAAGCTTCCTCTTGATTACAAGTTTTTTAAGATTAGCATTAAAGTCTTTTTATTACGATTACGATAAAGCCTAACAAACCTACTATAAAAAAAACCTTTTAAAGACCAAATAGCACAACTTTTTTGTTTAATTTGTAAACGAAACACCATGTATATTTAAAGATAATTGTTATTGATAGCCCTAAGTGAGTGATTTTAGACGAGATTAAGGGAATTTTCCAATAACACACGATGAAATACGTAATTTCCAGATACTAAATGTAGAAACATCCTGTATATTTTACGTCAGTGTTGTATAATCACATATTTGCAACTCAACTATTTTTTATAATTGAAAACAATTTTGGGCAATTATTTCAAACATGGAATAGTTTTGTTTGAACGTTTCACAAAACAGCTATAAGTATTTTTTTATGTCACACCCTATATATTTTTATACATTTAGAATCCTTGTTATAAAAGAAGATAATAATTTTTTTCAACAACAGTCTTCATCATATTAGCCCTTCTATAATAAAAATGGTCATATTTAAAATTTTCTCAACGTCTCCATATTTAAAAATGGAGGTCTAGAATTTTGGACAAAACACTTCACTTGAGAAGTGTAAGAAAAACTCAACTGAGTTTTAATTTATTTCTGAGCGTGATAAAATTCGCAAATCGCCAATTTCGTATGTTGGTCAAATATATCACCCTGTATTTTATGAAATTTTTTACTTTATATTTCAGAAGCTTCCTCTTGATTACAAGTTTTTAAGATTAGTATTAATAGTTTTTTAATTACGATTACGATAAAGCCTGACAAACCTACTATAAAAAATCCTTTTAAAGACCAAATACCACAACTTTTGTGTTTAATTTGTAAACGAGACACCATGTATATTTAAAGATAATTATTATTTATAGCCCTAAGTGAGTGATTTTAGACGAGATTAAGGGAATTTTCCAATAACACACGATGAAATACGTAATTTCCAGATACCAAATGTAGAAACATCCTGTATATTTTACGTCAGTGTTGTATAATCAGTAATCACATATTTGCAACTCAACTATTTTTTATAATTGAAAACAATTTTGGGTAATTATTTCAAACATGGAATAGTTTCGTTTGAACGTTTCACAAAACAGCTATAAGTATTTTTTTATGTCGCACCCTATGTATTTTTGCAAATTTAAAATCCTTATTATAAAAAGAGAAAATCGATTTTTTTAACAAAAGTCTTCAGCATATTAGGTCGTCTTATTTTAAAAACGGTAATGTTTCAAATTTTCCCAACGCCGCCATATTTAAAAATGGAGGTCTAGGATTTTGCACAAAATATTTTACTAATTGTACCTTGACAAACGTAGAAGAAACTCAAGTGTATTAATTCATTTAGAGAGATTACTAAATTCACAATTTGTCAATTTCATATATTATTCAAATCACTCTGTATTTTATGAAATTTTTGAAATTATGTCTTAATCCTTATATAAGTATTTTTTTATTTATGATTACCATGACAAACCTAACAAATCTACTATCAAAAAAACTTAAGAACCAGTTCAAAAATATTGTTAAATAAAGGGCCTACCATTTAAAAATTAGGAAATGGACCATTGGCATATTTAACCACCCGGTATCAATACATTTAGTCCTTCTTGAATTTTTATATATCTGTTAAAATTACGTGACCATCAAGCATAATTAAAATTCCAAGTCTAAATTTATCACAATTTTCAAAATTTAACTGGAAACATTTTCTTACAGATTTCGACATCCAGAAGTTAGTATCGGATTTGTGTCATTAATGACTTTTGCAGAATCGCCTACTGAGATATTGCAATTTTTTGGATTTAAAAAAATATATTTTCAAACCGAATATTTTCAGTCTTGCACTGGAAGCATCAAACTTTTTCAAAAGCAAAATTTTCTGTCTGAAATTTTTTGAAAATTATCGTTATTAAAGTTAAAATATAAATTTGAAAATTTAACTAAGGGCATCTTCTAATAGAATTCGAGCTCAAGAACTTAGTTTCGTCCTCATTTCTTCTGTAGTTTTTGCCATTTTTCCAAAATCACCCAGTGTATTATTGCAATTTTGATCAAAAAACTTTAGCGTGTAACTTGTAGATGAAACACCTTATATATTTGAAAAAAATGTAAATTGTAACCCTACTTGACTTATATTAGACCCCAATAAACGATTTCTGCCATAACCTACAATAAAATGCTTAATTTTCAGCCACTAAATGTTGAGACACCCTGTATATTTTATATTACTGTTCTATATTTTAAACTTCATTTTTCCGTTTTTTGGCAAACTGAAAATAATTTTCCACGGTCTGTCTGAATTATTTCAAATATCCAAGATTTTCATTACACAGTCCCATACAATAGCTACATTTTTACGTATCGCACCCTATATATTTTTCCAGATGTAGAATCCTTATTAGTTATTATAAAACAACAAAATCAATATTAGACACAACGGTTTTTTTAACAACAGTTTTCAACATATTGATCCTTCCAAATTAAAAATGATCATATTTAAAATTTTCCAGCGCCGCCATATTTAAAAATGGAGGTCTAGAATTTTGCACAAATTTCTTTATTTACCTTGCTTTAACAAATATAGAAAAAGCTCAGGGGTGTTTTAATTTATTTGTACAGCTACTAAATTTGATATTCTTAGTCTCTTACATTATTCAGATGGGACACCCTATATTTTATAATATTTTTGAACTTATATCTAAGAGGCTTCCTTTTGATGACAAGATTATTAAGATTCATCCGGACAGTTTTAAAATTATGTTTAGGTTAAACTCTAACTAACTTAACACCAAAGAAAACTTTCCATAAAGACAAGTTCAAAAATTTTGTAAAATACTGCACGTTCCATTTGAAAACCATGAAGAAACGAACCATACTTAACTACCTAGTATAAACAAGTTTAACCTTGGCTGACTTATATATTTATTAAGATAAGGTGACTTAAAGACGCTATTTTATTTTCATAAAAAATATATATATTGTAAAATTTATAACGTATTCCGTTTAAAACATACAACTGTAGCGTGTGACTTGTTATTGAAACGCCTTATATATTCGAAAAGAATTGTATTTTTTTTTTCAATAATCCACAATTAATGCGCAATTTTCACTTGGGACAGCCTGTATATTTTACGTCGGTACTACATAATTTAAACTTCATTATTTCAACTCATCTATTTTGTGGCGAATTTGACGGTTCAGATAAAATTTTAATTCTTAATAAAGAATTTTCAGAGTTACTGAACTGAAGCGAGCTAAACTGCTTTACGTCATCTATTACTAAATTTCCGTTTTTGGTGGCATTAAACCCGCGTAATAACTAAGTTAATTATGTCTAAAAATCGATCCGGGAAATTGGAATAATTCGAGTCAGTCCTAATTTAATTTTGTTATACACATATGACATCTGATTGACATATGTAGATTTCATGAGTCCTCGATTTACTGTGTTGCAAGCTTCCGTGGCTGCTTCCATTTTCGGTCTTCTACTTAGTAACAAGAAGTGAATTAATACTTCGGCTGTCCCTGATATTGTTTATTAGGTTATTAGGTTTCAGTGGCAGTAAACAGTCAAAGTGTCATTAAATCTAGCTTTTAGCTCAATTTTTTTTTTGAAGTATGTCGGCAATAAAACGATTCTTTTTTTGCTCGGGAGCATTGTCCCTCGCGTGAAACTGCAGCCGCAGCCATCGGCAATAATAATGTGGCGAGATTGGTCGTCAATCGATGAAATACCGTAGTGACGTAGCCGAATCGATATTTTTCATGCTGAAAATTTCAGCACGAAATTATTATACGGATTTTATATCCGCCATAAATCGTAAATTATTCCGCATTTCCAGGTGGAAAATACGAACCATCGTACTCGACCACCGGCTACCAGATCCACATGAAACTGACCATACGGTCGATAGGTCCACAAGACTACAGGGACTACAAGTGTGTATCGAAAAACTCCTTGGGCGATACGGACGGAACCATCCACGTTTTCGGTAAGTTGATTACATTGATATTTCTGAATGAATTTTAAATGATTAGGAGAAGAATGAACCGAAAGGGGAAACTTATTCTGGCTCTCGACTGAAATATTTCTTCTTTGACTGGTGGAGCGAGCAATCGTGTTTTATGCATCAAAAACTAAACTAAATAACTTCGCTCCACTTTACTAAATACACAGCCATATTCCTAATTAGGCATTTGTGCTTTGAGACTAGTGGATTTCTAATTTATTTTTGAACTAAATGATGTTGTACATTAGTGTGCTAGGGTTGAGGGTGTACCTATTAAATATTAATTGAAATCGACGACCACGTAAGTTATTGTTATATATTGAATTTGCGTATTTGACAGACGCAACAAACACGTTATGTCACGTTATATATAGGTATGAGAATAAGCGATTGATTTGTAAAGTCTGTAAAGATTTTTTGTTGAGTCAAAATCGACAAAAAAAATCGTCGAAGACGCTTCTTCGCAATTCTTCAATTTTTAATTTTTGTCTCTTTAATTTTTCGATTTGAGTTTCTCGCGTTTTCCATTTTTAATTTTCGTTTTGTAATGAAAGCTGTGAGTCATTCTTCTTTGGGAGTTAATCAGGACAAGGAAGAAAGAAATTTTCCAATAGAATATTCTGAAGATAAATTTTATAGTTCATGGTTGCGGAATCTTATAACAATATTAAGTTCTACCGCAGCAAAATCGAAATTTTTTTTTGCTTGTTCTGCACACTTGAAGGAAACTAAAGATAAAATGAAAGCTTTATTGGAGGTAAGACAATAAAATGTGTATCAATAGAACACCTGTGGCCATCTGAACGTGTATGGAATGTTATAGTATATGCAAGAGACCTTCACAAAATTCTGTTGGTTTTATGACTTTGGGATAATCGCTGTCCAATCGATTATCACGTAGATGATAACTGGGAATCAAGGAAAATATGTAAGTCAGCAAATGGCATTTATCCCGTGATGGCAGATTTCCGTTAGATGTTACACTGTGATGCTCCAAATGTGATACACCTAACACTGATTATTATCTAAGATTGACCAACACTAGTGTAAACTCTGTTTCACAAATCATAGATACGAAAATAAAGTTCGAAATTATCGCTCTGGAATTCAGATTTATGAAAAGAGAAGTCTTACTCGAGATCTTAGAAGTTTTACGTCTAGTAGATGTTAAAGTTGTAAAGTCGCAGTTTTATCTATGAAAGTGGAACGTCTGTATTAGTTATAGGAAACTAAATTCGCATATTTGTGGGAAAACTGACCGTGTAAATTCTAAATTTAGAAAACCTATACCATTTTCTGCCGCTTTATGGATATTTTTACCACGTTATAACTAGTTTAATTTAACGATTTAAAAAATTTGCCTGTAAAAGAGCTCCAAATTTAATTACTCTATAATTATTCCGGACGAATTTTTCATGAAGTGCAGTGCAAATGAACTAAATTAATTACCTCGCGACGTAAAAAATTAACACGAATAACAGCAAAGTGAAAGAAAGTGGTGGAAATTATTTTTAGAGATATACTTTACTGCATTCAATAATTCTAGCCGTCTGGGTGTCTAGGCACTTTTCACTAAAAAATACGCTTTTTATTCGTTAAAATGTTATTAAATGGAATATATATGTAAATTTCAAAATGATGGAATATTTAGAGAGCTCTAAAACAGAAAATGCATTTATGTTATGAAAAGCATAACATACGCTTTGTCGGATGAACACGGAATTTCCAGCATTTATCGAATTTAGGTAATGTGTTAAATGGATTTGTTTTTAAGTTTTTTTAATAGCAAGTGATTGTCAGGAGAGCTTTCCGGTTATTGTTTACAGGCTTTGGTAATAAAAAGTGTAAAACATTTTTTTACGAATGTTTTGAAAAATTAGATATGGTGATATTCGTTTGAACCAGAATGGTGAACCGCAGAAATACTTGATTTTGAGGCATACAAAGAAAAATGAAAAAGTGAAGAAGGCAATAAAGAAAGCAAAACAAGAATAATGAACAAAATTCGGAGAGAAAATGGCTCAAACAACAGAGATAAAAATTTTTTTTTCAGAATATTTAAGGAGTTAAAACAAAAGAAGGAATATAATGTGAACAACACAAAAGACAATTACACACCAAGAAAAAATAATGGATAGATGGTAACAACTATTCCAAGAATTGACGGAGGATGAGATCAAGAGGTTTTTTCATTCAAATTTTTTCAAATTCTTTCAAAAGCAATACATCAGGAACTCTGGAAATTCTTTTAAATTATTTGAGAACAACATCTGGATCCCCGACATACTTTAAATTCTTTGATCTTCAAGATTCTTTCATTTTTTTTCAAAAATAAAACACCAAGAACGCCGAGATCCTTCAAATTTATTTTAAAAAAAGGACAATAGGATTCCCAAAATTCTTTCAAACTCTTCCTAAAGCAAACCACCTTAAGAGCCAAAATTCTTTCAAATGCTTTCGAAGAATAAAGCGTCGAGATTCTTTCAAAAACAAAACACCAAGAACCCCGCGGTTTTTTTAACTCTATCAGAAATAAAACAGTTGGAACCCTTGAAATTCTTCCAAAAAAGCAAACTAAGGGTCCAAAGAATCTTTCAAATTTTTATTAAAGCAAACCAACTAAGGCGCCAAAATTCTTTCAAATGTTTTCAAAAAGAAGACCTCCGAGATTCTTTCAAATTTTTTGAAAAAGAAAATACCTGGAATCCCCAAAATTCTTTTAATTGACTTGAAAAACAAAAACATCAGGAGCGCTGGAAGTTCTTGTCAATTTTTAAAAAAGACACCAAGGATCCCAACACTTATTCAAATTCCTGAAACAAATACCAAGAAACCAGAGTTCTTTCATATCTTACAAAAAAAAAACATCTGGAGCTCTCGAAATTTTTTAAAATTCTTTCAGAAAAGAATACTATAACCAGAACTGGTGTTAATTTTTGTTCTAAATTCTTTCATAAACAAAACACAAAATCCTCGAGATTCTTCTAAATTCTTCATAAAACGACATTTCTGAGTACCAAGATTCCTCTATAATTTTTCAAAATCAAACACCAGAAACACCGAGGTTCTTTCATAAACAGAACACCAGTAGCCCCCAATGAATTCTTTTCAAAAATGACGCTGGGGTTCCAAGAATTTTTTCAAATTCTTTCAAAAACGAAAAAAAATCGCCTATATTCTTTTAATTTTTTTCAAAAACAATACACCTGGAACTTACAAGGTTCTTTTAAATTCTTAAAAAAAAGTTTCTTTCAGGAATGAAACACCTACAACGAGATCCTTTTAAATTCTTTCAAAAACAAAACACTTGGAGGCTCCACGATTTTTATAAAATCTGAAAAAAGACACTTCTGATCCCTAAGATTCAACGCCCGAGATACTTACGAATTCTTTCAAAAAGAACACTAAGATTCCCGAGATTCTTTAAATCTCTTTTTAAAACAGCCACCAGGGGCGCTAAAATTCTTTCAAATGTTTTCAATAAAGAAAGCCCTGAGATTCTTTCAAAAACAAAACACCAAGAACCCCAAAATTCTTTTTAATTCTTTCATAAACAAAACAGTTGGAACCCTTCAAATCCTTTTAAATTCTTACAAAAAAGGACAATAGGAGTCTCAAGCATCTTTTAAATGTTTTCAAAAACGAAACACCAAGAACTCTGAGATTTTTTTCAAATAATGTCAAAAAGAATATACTAAAATCCCGAAAGTTTTTCAAATTCTTTGAAAAACCAAGCATATCAGGAGTTTCTTGTCAGTTCTTAAAAAAAAAGACAATAAGAGTCTCAAGACTCATGGAAGTTCTTGAAAAAATACCAGGAACCCTGAAATCTTCCAAATTCTTGCAAAAACAAGACAGCTGGAGCTCTCGAAGTTCCTTTAAATTCTATCAAAAAAAGACACTAGAGGTCCCAAGATTCTTTCAAATTCTTCTTAGAACAAATCACAAGTGGCGCAAATTTTTACTAAATCCTTTCAAAAACAGAATACTAGGGGTCCTTGTGATTCTTGTAAGTTATTTACGAAAAGACACTTCTGAGCACCAAGATTCTTCCAGATTTTTTCAGAATCAAAACACCAGAAACACTGACATTTTTTCCAAAAATGATGCTAGGGGTTCCAACAATTTTTTCAAAAACAATACACCTAGAACTCCCAAGGTTTTTTTGAATTCTTAATAAAAAGACAATAAGGGCCGCAATTTTTTTTTCAGATTATTTCAAAAACAAAATATCAGGGATCCCGAGATTCTTTCAAATTCTTTCCGAAATGAAACACATACAACGGAATTATTTGAGATTCATTCAAAAACAAAACGTCTGGAGACTGCAAGATTTTTCTAAATTCTTTCATGGCTTTTCAGAAATAAAACCCCAGGAACCCGCAAGGATATTTTAGAATTCTTTCAAAAAAGAGGCTTTAAAAATCTTCCAAATGGTTTCAATAAACAAAACCCCGAAATTTTTTCAAAAAGAAAACACCAACAACCCGGAGTTTCTTTTTCAGAAATAAGAGTTCTGGAACCGTTCAAATTCTTTTAAATTGCCAAGAGTCCTAAGAATATTTCAAATTTTTACTATAAGTAACCAACAGAGACGCCAAAATTATTTAAAATATTCTCAAAAACAAAACAGCAGAAACTCATATTTTCACAAATTGTGTCAATAGGAAAATACCAAGAATCCCAAAAATTCTTTTAAATTCTTTGAAAAACAAAACATATCAGGAGCTCCGGATATTCTTTTCAACTAACAAAAAGACACTAACACCCCAAGACTCATTCAAGCTCTTTAAAAAAAAAAAAATACCAAGAACTCCGAGATATTCTAGACTCTTACAGAAAAAAAAACAACTGGAGCCCTCGAATTTTTTTTTATTTTTTTCAAAAAAGACACTGGATGTCCCAAACTTCTTTCAAATTTTTCTTAAAACACACGACAACTGGCGCAATTTTTTTTTTCTAAACCCTTTCATAAACAAAACACCAAGGGCCCTTGAGATTCTTCTAAATTCTTTACAAAAAGACACTTCTGAGCACCAAGATTCTTCCAGAATTATTCAGAATCAAAACACCAGAAACACCGAGATTCTTTCAAAAACAGAACACCAAGAACTGACAATATTCTCCTAAGTTCTTTTCAAAATTCTTTTAAAAACGAAACAAAAAACAGCCTATATTTTTTTTTAATTTTTCAATAACAATACATCGGGGATCTCGAGATTCTTTCAAATTCTTTAAGAAATGAAACACTTACAACGGGATTCTTTTAAAATCATTTAAAAACAAAACACCTGGAGACCCTAAGATATTTCTAAATTCTTAAAACAAGACACTTTTGAGACCCAAGATTCTTTCATAGTTTTTCATAAATAAAACACCATTAACCCCCAAGGATACTTCAGAATTCTTTAAAAAAAAAAACTGGGATTCCCAAGATTCTTTCAATATCTTCCTAAAAGGGGCGTTAAAATTCTTCCAAATATGTACTTTAAATAAGTAAAACCCTCAGATTTTTTCAAAAACAAACCACCAACAACCCCGAGATACATTTTAATTCTTTCAGAAATAAAAGGGGTGGAACATTTCAAATTGTTTTAAATTCCCAGGAGTCCCAAGAATCTTTCAAAATTTTACTATAAGGAACCAACTGAGTCGCCAAAATTTTTTAAAATGTTCTCAAAAGCAAATCAGCAGAAACTGAGATTTTTACAAATTGTGTCAATAAGAATATACCAAGAATCCCAAAAATTCTTTTAAATTCTTTGAAAAACTAAACAAATCAGTAGCTCCAGATATTCTATTTAATTAAAAAAAGGCACCAAGAGACCAAGACTCATTCAAGTTCTTGCAAAATACCAGTAACCCCGAGATCTTCTAAATTCTTACCAGTAGTTCCAAAATTCTTTCAAATTCTTCTTAAAACAAACCACAACTGGCACCAATTTTTTCTAAATCCTTCAAAAACAGAACACCAGGGACCCTTAAGATTCTTTACAAAAAGACACTTCTGAGCACCAAGATTCTTCCAGAATTTTTCAAAAGCAAAACGGCAGAAACACCGAGATTCTTTCAAAAACAGAACACCAAGACCTCGCAATATTCTTTTAAAGTCTTTTCAAAAATGACGCTAGGGATTTAAAGAATTTTTTCCGATCCTTTCAAAAACAAAAAACAAAACCGCCGATTTCTTTTAAATTCTTTCAAAAAAATGATAAGAGCCCCAAGTTTCTTTAAGATCATATCAAAAACAGATCTTCACGAATCCAAAGATTCTTTAAATTTTTTTCAAAAATGAAACACCTACAACCCACGAAATTTTGTTTAAATTCTTTCAAAAACAAAACACCTGGCGGTCCTAAGATTTTTCTAAATTCTTAAAAGAAGACACTTCTAATCCCCAAGATTCTTTCAGATCTTTCCAAAAACAAAACCCCAGGAACCCCGAGATTCTTCCACATTCTTTCAAAAAGACAACATCAAGAACCCCCTAAATACTTTAGAGTTTCAAAAAAGGACAATAGGATTCCAAATTTTATTCAAACCCTTTCAAATGCTTTCTGTAAATAAATACCGGAGATTTTTGCAAAAATAAAACACCAAGAATACGGAGATTCTTTTTAATTCTTTCAAAAAAGGACAGTAGGAGTCCCAAGAATCTTTCAATATTTCATTAAAAAAAGCTAAAACTAAACTAAAAGGAATCCTGGGATTTTTCAAACTCTTAGAAAAAAGAAGATTAAAGGTCCCAAGATTCTTCCAAATCCTCTTAAAAACAAACAAAACACTAGGAGCTTCCAAGATTCACCTAAATTCTTCTCAAAAATGACGCTAGAATTTCTAAGAATTTTTTCCGATCCTTTCAAAAACAAAAAACAAAACCGCCGATTTCTTTTAAATTATTTCAAAAAAATAATAAGAGCCCCAAGTTTCTTTAAAATCATATCAAAAACAGATCTTCACGAATCCAAAGATTCTTTAAATTTTTTTCAAAAATGAAACACCTACAACCCACGAAATTTTGTTTAAATTCTTTCAAAAACAAAACACCTGGCGGTCCTAAGATTTTTCTAAATTCTTAAAAGAAGACACTTCTAATCCCCAAGATTCTTTCAGATCTTTCCAAAAACAAAACCCCAGGAACCCCGAGATTCTTCCACATTCTTTCAAAAAGACAACATCAAGAACCCCCTAAATACTTTAGAGTTTCAAAAAAGGACAATAGGATTCCAAATTTTATTCAAACCCTTTCAAATGCTTTCTGTAGATAAATATCCGAGATTTTTGCAAAAATAAAACACCAAGAATACCGAGATTCTTTTTAATTTTTTCAAAAAAGGACAGTAGGAGTCCCAAGAATCTTTCAATTTTTCATTAAAACAAGCTAAAACTAAACTAAAAGGAATCCTGAGATTTTTTAAACTCTTACAAAAAAGGAGATTAGAGGGCGCAAGATTCTTCCAAATCCTCTTAAAAACAAACAAAACACCAGGAGCTTCCAAAATTCACCTAAATTCTTCTCAAAAATGACGCTAGAGTTTCTAAGAACATCTGTAGGCTCGCTCCAAGACTTTTCTAGATTCTTAAAAAAAAATTTTTTAAAAGCAAAGTTTCACAAGCCTCCCTGATTCTTTTAAATTAAAAAAAATATCAAAAACCCCAAAATTTTTTTAAATTTTTTCAAAAAAAAAAACGCCGACTATCTCGGAAAGAAAAGGACACGATGAGCAGAACTAATCACAGGAAATAGATTCAATATAGCAAGAAAAATTATGTCTCACTAATCAGAAGCAACAGAAATGATGAAATTAAGAAAAGCACATATCGGAGAAAAATAATGGAAAGGAAAATAAAGAAAAGATTAAAACGAGTATAGCGAAACGTAATGCGGGTTAAGAAAGGGAAGAAGCACACAAGACCTAATATTTGTGATCAGGCAAGTCAGCAAAAAAATTATAAACAAAAAGAAGGAGCGGTGTTTTTGATCTCGATTTCGTCTCCGTCAAAAATAGACGCTTTGTACTGAAAGATAACTTTTCCTATATTATTACAAAATTATGTAATGTATATATAAATAGAACATTTTGTAGCCAATTTTCTTCAATAGCTGTGCACACACACTTCATAAAATTACATAATGTACACACTCAAGTCAAAATTTTACTATGAGAACAATATCTCGACATCTTCCTACAAAACCACTATAAATAAAGATATTGTAGTTTTGTTATAAGGCTCTTTACACTGGATAATGACTTTTAATCAGCATTGACAGATGACTGACATTATATTTCAAAGTTTCTACAGAAAATTCTTGTTGAATTATTACCTATTATAAAATGCTAATATTCAGTTTACATAAAGACGGTGACAGTGACACCAAATTAATCAAAGGTAATGTACAATTAATGTATTTTAGCTAGAATTTAAGTGTAAACTTATTAGCACTTGCCTGTCATAGAGTTTCCAGTTCATTACAGTAATATAAAATTAATTAACTGATTATTGGTTTTAACACTTTAAAGGCAAATATTCAACACTAAGTCTAAAATAAAATACTCAGTTAATTTTATTGTGGTTTCGTACTTATACGTGAAGTGAACAAAGAACTTGTGGTTTCTTTAAATGTTTGTCGCTCGTTGACAATACTTATCGCAAATAATCCTCTTAGAACCTGCACTGATCCTTTGTCAATAATGCCAACACATTTTATTTCCAGGCAGCGAAACCATAAAAATAGATCCCCAGTTGAGGTGATCTAAACGTAAATACTTAAAAAGACAAACTTTATCGACTAATTTGCCAACAAATGGTCATTCTGTGTACGCCCGCTATTAAATTGGACGTTAATACAATTTCCTTCTAGTATTTTGATGCGACTCTAAGGGCGATTAAGATTTTTCGATATTTATACGTGGAAGAAACAGCTTTGCAAAGTACGTATTTATAAGACATAATAAAAGAGCGTTTCGGTTCATTCATTCCCCTTGTGTAAAACCCCGAACAGTTTTCGTTTGATTGACAGGCATTAAATGTAGCTCATATTTTTTACAGCCATACCTAAGCCATCAAAACTTTCAAATGGTTTATCAAGGAAAGGTGAGTTCGTAACATTTAACCCCGAAAGTTGGAAGGTACGTGACGTAATTTATAAAACTAAGCCGGCTCTCTCTGTGTCGGTAATTTATCGCGCGGTGATGCGTATTTATGTTCCATACGAAGAACATTCCCCGCAATCAATTAACCGAGTTATTAATAATAACTGTGGATAAATTGCCCCCGGGCGTGCAAAATCCGTCGAGAGATCCGGTTGTGGAAGAAAGCGCGGTTTAAAGTTCGCGCCGACTCTTGATTAATACACAAAAGCCCAGCATGGCGCAGACTGTCACGATTAACAAGCACGATTCCGCACTTCCCAGTCACTTACTGGCGAATTTAGGTGGAAACGTCATGTTAACATGCAATTTCATAATTTATTTCACTTACAAATCAACGCCGGTTACGTTTTATAAATTATATATTAGACGGGATCGTTGCGTTTCTTATATTAATTTGCGCTGGTGTGCTACCGAAATGAAAAAGAAAACTCGAGGGGTCATTAGAAAACCTTAGAATAGTCTACACTAAACGCACATATGTATAGAGCGATCCAAATAACTGAGCGACTAAAACTTTGACGAGATATTTAAATCCTGGGATCTTGGTTTATTATTATCAGTCAACAAGACTGATGGTTCAGCTTTTTCACCAACTAGAACACAGATCGGTTCGGTTAGGTCGGGCCATGTTAATTCAACTTATTACAGACTTGGAACTGAAAAACGCAGATATATACCGAGCGATCCAGCTAGTCCAACTTAAATTTTGATGGCATTTTTATGTCTTGAATTTTTTTGAACCATATCGATGATTCAGTTACTATAAAATTGAACATGTTAGGTCGGGTCAGATAAGGTCAGGTCAGGCCAGATCAGGTCAGGTCAGAAGAGGTCAAGTGAGGTTAGGACAAGACAGGACCGGACAGTTCAGTTGATATTGAATTAGGTAAGAATAGGACAAGTCAACTATGTTGAGTATTACTGGGCCAATGATAAGATAACGGTGATTACTTTCTTGTTTTTTTGGTGAAAAGTAACTCTAGATTAGTTTTTTTTTTGTTGTGCCTTTATAATCCACTCTTTATTTTTGATTTCATAATTATGTCCACATTTTTTTTATTTTTTGCGAATTTATCAGTTTATCTCAGAAACTACATAACTAATCCATTCAGTTAAAATTTTTAAAACGCTACAATTAAGATAAGACTGATTTTGGCAAATTAGATACCCCCTAACAGAAGAAAAGGCGGGTGGGCGGGGCTAATACTTGCTAAGAAAAAACTGATTTAGGTAAATGACTTATCCTCTAAGGGCGAGGCTAGTAGCTGCTAAGATAAAACAGATTTTAGCAGGTACTATCCCCGCCCACACGCCCTCTTTTCTTTTATAGAGTTCTCATTCGCCAAAATCAGTCTTATCCTAGCAGGTACTAGCTACTAAAATTTTCTACGTCAAGAGTTGATAGTTTCTGAAATTTTTATTAGATAACATGGAAATAATAAATATAATTTATACCAGTGGTTTATGAATCTTATTGTTTTTTTATTTATTTTTTATTAAATATTTTCCACATTCATAGTTGATTGTGTCTGAATTTTTTTGAAATAACGTGGAAATAATATATTTCTCTACCTGTGGTTTATGAATTCCCTTGATTTTTACCTTGTACATGTACAAAAAAAAAAATCAAAATTTATGATGACATTTTACAATTTAGATTATTTGGTTATCGTTTTCAAAAACTTAAATTACGTAGGTAATATAAGCTAAAAGTGTTAACCTTTTGAATATTAATGTAGACATATTTAAAAAAATTGCTCGAAGGTGGCTTCGAAAACTTCCCACGCCCCTGTAGTACAATGAATGACACATATCCAGCATTCTCGAAAAATTGTAAAATTTGATTTTGCGAATATTATTTTTTATAAGAATCCCTATAAATTGATATAAATATGAGTTTTTACTTTACACAATTTTGTGATGACGTCATCAAAGTATGTCAACATGGATTGGTGCAGCGTAATGCTAATAATTACAATACTGTATCTCCAAATTTTCGAAAAAATCGAGTGAGCCAACTGGCAGATCTAAACAATATAAATAACTGCAATGATAATTATATGTATATAAGTATTGACTTATTTTATTTTGCACATTTTAGATAGGATTTATTAGGCAAAATTTTGAGGTGATGTCAAAATTTTTGGAGAGGGGATAAACAAATACATATATTTTGAATAAAATTTTCCCATGCTTATGATAACTTAAAACATCTGCAAGATTTTAAAGCATTCAGATATGCGGATTAAAAATCAAATTAGAAAATATTGTTACAAAAAATATAAAAGTTTCGGGTAAAAACTTAAGCCCGAGTCATGAACTATATGTGTAGGACTATGTTATTTTATACAATTTAAAACTAAAACTTTAAAGTACTTGCTAAGATAAGCCTGATTTTGTCAAATGACATACTCTTTAACAAAATAGAAGGTGGGTGGGCGGGGCTAGTATTTAATAAGATACGACTGATTTTGGCGCTTTTGACATTTTCGACCACTTTTAAACTGTTTTCGAAAATTACTTGATTAATAAAAATACATTTTCTTCTAAATTTCGATATACAGAAGTCATTTTCGGCTTCGTTTTCCCACCGTTTTTCCAAAATCGCTAACCGAAATATAGCAATTTTTACAGTTTCGTCAAAATCGCTCGCTAGGTATAAAATTTTTGTAGATAAGAAAGGACATTTTTATGAATGTTTATATCACAAAATACAATTTATTTAAAAAAATATATACACAGAAATGTCTAAAATTTATTTATTTGAGACAATAGAGAAGTCAGGACAGGTCAGGTCACGTTAGCTCAAGTTAGGTCAGGTACATGAAATAAGAAATAAATTGTATAGAGAATAGTATAACAAAAAAAAAATAACGATTAGGGCTTTTTTTACTTTTTTCACATCCTAGATTCTATTATTGGTTTCCACTTCTGGACCAGTCCAGAAGAACATAATGGGCCCCGCCCACCCCCTGCCTCCTTTTCAGTGATTGATTTTACCCAGTCTAAATGAAATGAATGATCTTACACTTAGTCGTTAGAATGAGAAGAGGGGGTTGGGCGGCTAGTACTTAGTGTCGGAGATTGTCTGACTAATAAAAATTGCCACCGACGGCGGACAGACAGACAGACGGACAGACCCATCGAGAAAATTCGAACCCTCAATTATAACAAATTATTTTTACACTGTACACATCAAAATAGATTTGTTTATTTCACCAAGATGTAGATGACCTTGCGATTTAAACTAGTACTCTTATTACTTCCGTGGGCGTAATCGAAGTACTGTAATCGAGTCCATAGGGCGACCTGCTACTTTCGTATTTTCTCGAGGTTTTTTGACCCCCAGAGTACGAAGAAGTGGTCTCCTGTGTCGGCCTGTTTGCTGTTTGCCTGTCATCAGTCTGTTGTCTGTCGTCTGTATTATTATATTTTTTTTGTTTATTATTTAAACTGTCTTTTATTTTGGACACATAATGCTGGGATTAAAAAATCAGGTACGGTTCATCCCATTCCCTGGAAAATTTAGGAATAGAGTAATGTCGCGCCCGCCTATATGTTTTTACATATAGAAATTAGCATAAAAAATTGGCTCAAAAATCAGACTATATCATTTTTAATTCTTTGTAGGACCGTACTTTGGAGGCGAGAAAATTCTCTCAAAATAATACTCAAATTGCGAAATGAGGAACGTGATTAAAATATATTTCTTAAGCCTGTTTAAAATATATCTAAATATATATATATTAATTGTGTGCGAAGTCTCTTGGAATGGAGCAAATTTAGAACAATTTTTCACCTGAAAATTTCGGCCCATTTTCGACAATTTTCGAAATTCAGTTAAAGACATTTTCTTGTAGATTTCGACCTCTGGAAGTTATTTTCGGCTCCATTTCTTCGATATCTCCTAGAATTTTTCCAGAAGCTCCAATTGAATTATGGGAATTTTTATAATTTTTCAAAAAAGTGAGTTATCGTACCAAAAATTTCCCAAATGCGGGACCTTAAGCACGCGATTTTTCAAATCATTACGACGAAATCTATGTCCTAGAATTTTTTGCAATTGCTTAGATAAGATTTCCAAAAAATTCAATTTTTAAATTTTCGAGCTTTTTTGGACTTTCGAAAATTACCTGAAGAGATTTTTTCATAGATTTTGACCTCTACAAATTATTTTGAGTTGAAAAATAGCATTTTTTGAGATGTGTAAGAAAATGACTTGGAAACCGAATATGTCTAAAACCACTTCTCGTATCGAATTTGTATTATTTTTCTTAAATTTTACCACTTAGATTTTCTGGAGTTACACTAAATAGTTAATTTACAAAATAAAAATCTAAGGGTTCTCCACGGTTTTCGAAATTTGTTTGCAGTCGTCGAAATTTTCTATTTGGATTTGTGTTTGTATTTAGGTAATTTTGGCCAAAACTCAATTTTTCAATTTTCGATGTTTTCTCGATCACCTTCTCCTCCAGAAGTTATTTTCGGGTGGATTTCTTCGAATATTCCTAGCATATTTCCAAAATCTCCAATATAAAATTTGGCAGTTTTTAGAATTTTAAAAATTGGACTCAAAAACCAGGAACTTTTTCAAATTTTGCTCCGAGGTCATAAAGGATCTTAATTTTTCGAGTGAGTACGTGAAAATCTATATCACAGAATTTTTCGTGAATTTTTGGTAAACCTTTTTTAGATTTTCGAAAATTACCTGAAGAGATTTTTTTTTCTTAGATTTAGACGTTCATAAATTATTTTCACTTTTTTTTCTTCCAAAATTTACTTTACCACTTCTCGTATCGAATTTGTATTATTTTTCTTCAATTTTACCACTTAGATTTTCTGGAGTTATGCTAAATAGTTAATTTACAAAATAAAAATTTAAGGGTTCCCCAGGGTTTCCGAAATTTGTTTGCAGTCGTCGAAGTTTTCTATTTGGATTTA